ATACATGTATATAGAAAAAAATATATATCGGGGGTTGCATTTAAATGATTCAGAGACTGATTTATTTTAACTCAAGATAATCCATGCATATTTAAGTCCTCAATAAAAAAGGGTGTGTATAAACACTTCAACACGTTCAAGGAGAAAGACTAAAATCGTTTACTTTTGGTTGTAGTGTTTGTTTTTTTTAACTCACAAATTGAAATAAAAAAGGTAAAATTAATGCATATGTACCAAGAAATTGATACCTCATAATAAATCATGATCCAAAGTTGTTTATTAATTAAAAAATATTTTTAAAAAACATGTAAATTACGGAAATACCAGCTTTCAACATGTACATTTTATAGAGCTACCAGGTATGCAAGATCAGCGAAGCATTTTAGCGCAATTAGACGTCATTTTAATTGTGACGTTATTGTGTTCAATTGTGACGGCAGTCAAGGGTACTATGACGTGCGTGAGTCGACGCTGCGTTGAAACGTATGCGCAGTTCAAGTAGATCGGGCCTCGTTAAGCGCAGTTATAAACGCAGTTATGATAAGGCCGTCCGATGGCTTGGCATGCATTAAAAATGAACGCTTTACTTTGGGCTAGATTTTAATTTAAGCATGTTATCTTTGATAGAATTTGAAGTCAACTTGTAAGTAGAGTTAAATCAAGCATTATAATAAAGCATTCTTGTGATTTCAATTGACTTTGTTAGTCACGTGACTTACAATAATGATATTCTTAAATGATGCACAGAAGCGCGTTGGTACAAGTGCAAAACAAACTTTGATCGATTCATTGAAATCTCTGAAACGCACATGTATAAAGTGCTGGGGGCAAGTATGATTTTTACTTTAACTTACCAACAATATAAGGGATAATTTTCATACTTTATCGCTATTTATACATGATTGAATAACTGCACACACTTCCCTAGCAGAATTCAGTTAGGGGACATATTTCTCTTATAGATTCACACAGGATATTTTCCATTTATCCTTGTTAATCACTTGTGCCGGTGTTGTATAGTAGTTTTTCCCCCATAGTAGCTTTTCCCCCCGGAAAACTGGCTATATAGTAGTTTTTCCCCCTAGGGAGAAAAGCTACTACATAGACAATTTTTTAGTAGGGTTTCCCCCCTAACGTTTTTGGTTTAGATTTTTGAAAATTGTTTATGGAAAGCTGATTAGGCTTTAAATCGATGTTTTGAACAGTGACTGAAGTACGTTACATATATTATTTGGAACGTTACATATTTTTTCGTAGAGGATATTCAATGTTGGTGGTTGGATATTGAATTTATTTCACGTCTAGTGGGACAAGATTTTTTTATATTATTTCACAAGTGAAATATAATACAAAAGTTCTGTCCCACTCGTGAAAACAATTTCCTTATCGTAATGGATTGATTTCATAACAAAAAGAAATGTCAGTCTACTTAATTACGTGTCGGTGATAATCAATGTCTTTTCAAATACGCATGTATTGCGAATTATTACAAAGAATGGTCCTCCATAAACTTAACCGGAATGAAAAAAGGGGGGAAAATCTACTATATAGTAGGTTTTCCCTGGGGGTAATCTGGCTATAAAAGAGGGGAAATCCCACTATATAGCCATCTTTCTATGGGGGAAAATCTACTATATAGCCATTTTCCCGGGGGGAAAAACTACTATATAGCCATGTGTCCGGGGGGAAAGATGGCTAGGGGGAAAGGCTACTATACAACACCGGTCAAATATAAACATGTTTCATAAATTCTAACTCCTTCTACGGACCTAGAAGGGCAGCTTTTCATGTTCAATCTTTCGCTATTGTTTGAATATGTGTATATCGTTCGAAAGCCCAATGAGCTTATTTTCGTTGGTTAAAAAATAAATTTTAAACGTTATAACGCGAAACTTTCGAGAATAAAGGCCTAACGTTTGCGTTATAACTCATAATTTTCGCGAATAAAAGCGTAGATTTTACGTTATTACGCGTAACTTAATAACGTTTGCTGTTAAAACAAGACATTTGCATAAGTCTTAACTTTGTTTTGATTCTGGAATCTACCGTCATCCGACAAAAAAAAATCGTAAAAAATCAAAAAAGTTGCTGTCAGGTGAGTAAATTTACAATTTAGATTACGATTGAAGTTGAAGAAAAAAGAAATAAAGAAATAATACCTAAAGTACATTTAAATGTATTCAAAGAATGAAAATACCTACACTTAAATCCTTCAGTAGAATTATAATTAAAAGGACAGACGTCACACATCTTAATATCTTCAATGACTTGTCCGATTCCTACGTTAAATTGGCTGCAGTGATGTCCTAAAAGAATTGTAATTAGATTTGAAAGTCATGTCTTCTCAAACATCTTCATCTTATTTTCTGAAACCGCCAACCAATTTGATCCAATTTTGTCAAATAGTATTTTTGGGTAAAGGGAAGAAACTAATTGTGAATTTCAAGGTTCCTGTCCCACCCTCCTATTGAACCTGAGGTGTGGGGTAAAAACCACCAAAATATATGCAATATTTAAAAAAATTCTTATCTCATGGTCATCAATCAAAGTGTTGGTGTGATTGTTATAAACAGTGATTTCTAACAAATTTGTAAAATTCATGGCCCCTGGGTCAGGTGCTAGGGCAGAGCTATATAGATTAGGCCTATATAGTATGTATGTAGTTGAAAATTTTCTCCTCTGCTTCTGGAGATTAAAACTACCAAAATCACAATGTTCACTAAGCTTTCCAATATTGTGCAATATACATGGCAGTTTCCTGTTTTCATGATTTCTCTGAAAGGGGAATCGCTCCGCAATCGCTATTGGTTTTGGTATTAATTTATTGCTTAAAACACATATTTTTTTTGAAAATCTTCTTTGTTCTTTGGTACTGAATAAACTTACTAAGTATATAGTTATGATGAGCACGAGTTCCTAATTCAAATTTGTGAATTTCAGCCCCTGTTTGGGGTTCTGGTAAAAAAATTGGACTGTATTGATTATAAAGTGAAAATACACTATACACTCTTATCCTCTGCTACTGGATATTGAACAAACTAGGTACATAGTTATGATGAGCAAGTACCCCTTCTAAAATTGTTAAATTCATGGCCCCAGGGTCAGGAGTTCAGTTGTTACATGTAGGAAGCATCTACTAATTATATAGTGAAATGCATTAATTCTTTACAACACATCATGGCTTCTGGCCATATACACAAACTTACGGAATACATAGTAATGTTAAACAAGATGAACCCAATATGATAAATTGGATTTCACGGTATAATGGATCATAACAGTTATGACACCTGATGAGAAGCCCTCTTTTCGATTATATACAAAAAAGTATATTATAAACTTTTTGAAATTGTTGTTTATTTCTTAAACTAGGTTTTAAAGTATTCTTCCACGGTCTGATTTGATGAGCTTATGACTTGCATAATTATTAAATATAATCATATACATGTAGTATACTCGTTATGCATATCTGAAAGTTTATCTCAATTCTTTTGAAGGTACCAACATGAAACATTTTCTTTAAATTTTATTATCAAGAACTTTCAACTTTATTAATTCCCAAAGAAATAAATTATATTACCTTTTTAATATACACGGAGAATATTTCTGCTATAAATACAGTACTAGTACATGTATTTTACACACACCAAAACAATGAATGATTTGACATACACCTACATGTTCATTTTTATACAATAAAATACATATTGTAGGTACTGGTGAAAAACAGTCGTTGCTAAAAAGATTTTTGGATGAGAACGGAGAATTCTCTAAGGCAAGCAACTTAGTAAATCTTGTTCAAATTTTGATTGAAAATTTGCCTCCGTCAACGAATGTGAAGAGGGATTCGCTTCACCTCTGATAAAAGCTGTCAGACTTTCGTCATTTGAACTTGTGGATTTGTTACTCCGACAAGGAGCAAACGTTAATCACCATGGAAAGAACGGATTTACAGCATTACATGAATGTTGTATCAAGGGTAAGCAATAAATTCTTAAACCAACCTTTAAAATGTTGAGAAATAAATAAAAACAACTAAATGCAGCTGTTTCAAGTACACAAAAAAAATTAAAAATTATTAAAACTATATGATGAATAAAAAAGGTACGGTTTAAGCTTTATTGTGCCCTAAAAATTTCATGATTTCAAAAAGTTTTGAAACTGGCTGAAATATTAGTCAAGAATATAATTGTAATAAATCCGAAAGAATATGTCTTGAAGGAATACAATTCTGAAAATGTGACGTCATTAATTTGATATATATCAATTTTAAAGAGAAAAAAATCTAAAAAATCATTTTAAAGGTTCTTTTCCTTTAGAATATACATGTAGTGTCCACAGCCCTGACCAACTTTATGTTTTGGATATGTTGTGTAAAGTTCTTTGAAAAATCACATATCTCAAAATCTTTGTGGGTGATGCCTGTGGACAATATCAACTGAAACAAAAATTTCATTGAAATAGTGACTTCTGCAACTTTTTTAAAGAAAATACGTGAAAATGCACAAATTTATGACGTCACAATTAGCATTGAGAAGGTAATGAGAAACAAATATGATACTTATGCATGGAATTCCAAAGATCCAGAAAACATGAGTTTAACTTATTTTACATCACTTTTATTTTGAAGAAAAACACAGGGCAAGATTTAAACCGTCCCTTTATCTTTTTGATGCAAGATTCCATCAACTTTAATACAATAATCTTGAACTCGATGAAAAAATATCTCTTAGCCTAACGTCTTGTATAGATATTTAACCTATCTTTCAAGGTAAATTTGAAGTAGAGGACCCTAACACAGAAATCTTCAATCTCCTATTAGGAGCAGGAGCCTCAGTGAACAGCCAAGCAAGCAGTGTGAACACACCAGTGACTGTAAGGATAAATAAAGGCTGTTTCGTTTTAAACAATGAGAAAAAGCACGGTCTTTTCAAATTTGTTTTCAATTTCTTTAAAAAGGGAATTTATCCTGACAGACAGAATAAAGAAGGAATCTTGCTTGATGTTAGCAGTTAGTAATTACAGTCTCATCAAGCAACTTCTAGATATTGGTGCAGATCCAACAGTTCAAGACCAAAATGGAAACACCGTATTGCATCATTTGTGTATGTCTCCTTTCATGTAAATATATATTTATTACTAGTATATACAAACAAGATGTGTTTGTGAAACACTGATGCCCCCGTATGGCAACATAGCAAAGATTTAACTTTTCTTAAATGCAGATGTAATTAATTGGCACAGAAGTAGGGTATTCTCATTGGAAAACAATTGTGAAATTTGAAAGTAAGCCAATGTTCAAGTTTTTTCAACAAGTACAGAAATCAAGGGTCAGAAGGTCAATGTATTTGGTATCAAATGAAAGGTATTGCCACAGAGAATACTTATATATAGAGTATGAAAGGCCTAGCCCTAACCGTTCAGAGTTATGGCCAAGAAAATTTTTTTTTAAGTTGGTCAAACTGCAAGGTCAAAGTTCTTGTTATCAAATGAAAGGTCTTGTCAGAAGGATAAAATATGTCAAATATAAAAGCACTAGCTCTAACCCTTTAAAAGTAATGTCAAGGTTTGCTTTTTTAAAGTAGGTCAGTCTCAAATGTCAAGGTCAAATGGTCAAAGTTTTTGGTATCCAATGAAGGGTCTTCTCACAAGGATTACATTATACAATTATTGACTTTTGATGAGGTCTACTCGTGACTATACAGACCTGGTCAGGTATAGGTTGACCGAGGCCGAAGGCCGAGGTTAACCAATACCTGACCAGGTCTGTATAGTCACGAGTAGACCGAATTCAAAAGTCAATAACCGTTTTATTAAATGATGAGGAATTTTACAACACTGCTGACTCTTTCATTCTTGTCTCCTTCAAATATAAACATCCATAATGTAAAGTGTAATTACACTTTTTACATGTTGATATACTTCAACAGCTAAACAAATATTAGTTAAAAAGTTAAAAACAATATTAATAAACAATAAATGCTCAACCATTTACTTTCAAAAGTTCGTAATCTCCTTGGTAATGGCGTCTGACATGTTTTACATTCACACCGACACATGCTTTGAAACACGCAATCTGATTGGTCGAAAAAGCTGTAAGCAAATCTATGGTTGGTCGAGAGGGAAAACCCGAATAAACCTCCCAGAACGTCATTTGAGGTTAACTCACTCTGAGGTACACACTAGTAAATGGCGTCTAGACCAATCAGAGAGCACCAAAATTCCTTATCATTTAATAATATTATATGTAGTATGAAAGCACTATCCCTTACCGTTCAAAAGTTATGGCCAAGGTTAAAGTTTTTTCACAAGTACGGAAATCTACAATGTCAAGGTCAAAAGGTCAAGGTTGTTGGTATCCAATGAAAAGACTTTTGACAAAGATTACATATTTGATGTATAAATATCCTGGTATCTACTGTTCAAAAGATATGGCCAAAGTAAAAGTTTAAAATTTTCATGTAAAAGTTGATAAAACTCCAAGGCCAAGGTCAAATGGTACCCATAGAAAGGTCTTGTCACAAGGAATACACGTGAAATATGAAAGTCATAGCTCAACTATATCAAAAGTTATGGGCAAGGTAAAAGTTTTTGCGGACAAACAGACAGACAGACGGACGGACACTACAAAAACTATATAACCCTGAAATTTTGTTTACTGGGACATAAAAAGATGTCTTTTTGAAACAGTGACGCCCACATATCGCAACCTAGTTAAGTTTAAAGTTCCCAAATGCAAATCAATTATAAAAGCAGGTCAAACCCCAAGGTCAAAGTTGTTAGTATCCAATGAAAAGTCTTGTCACAAGAATTACATATGTTAAATATGAAAGCCCTAGCCAGTACCTTGCCCTGGCCAGGGTTCAAGTTTTTTAATAGTTTGTCAATCTCCAAAAAGTCAAGTCAAAAGGTCAAAGTTCTTGGATAAAAGTCCTTGCATCAACCGTTCAAAGTTTTGGCCAAAGTAAAAGTTTGAGTTTTATTTGTGTGAAATTGTTTCAAACTCCAAGGTCAAAAGGTCTCCAAACGAAAGGTCTTATCACAAGGAATACACTCGTGAAATATGGAAGCCATACCCCCTTCCAGTCAGAAGTAATGGGCAAGGTTAAAGTTTTGGCGGACACACAAACAGACAGATAGACGGACAGGGCAAAAATATTTACCCAGAATTTTCGATTACAGGGGCATAAGAAACGTTTTACATAGATTTGAATCTGATGATAACTTGCATCACTAATAACATTTAACAAACAGAATCGATTTCATTTTAGACTTGTATGCTATTCAGTATGATTTTAGGTTCAACTACATTAAAAAGAAAAAAGAAAGGAGAAATTCTGGAGCTTCTGCTTAAAAGTGGGACGGATATAAATGCTGTAAACCACGAAGGATACACTCCTCTAAACCGAATGATAAAGGAAAAGACAAATTTGAATATGGAAGATATTCAAGACTTACTTATGAAAAAAGCTGGTCCAAATATATGCCTCAAAGGATGCAATTCTCCGTTGATAAATTCACTTTTGAGATGTAAACTGGACGTTGCTTCTTATTTATTGAAAGCTGGCGGGGATGTAAAGCATGAAGGAAAATCTGGTTTGACTGCTCTTCATGCCGTTTTAAACTTGGAGCTTACTAGCGGTAAATCAGACATTTAACTCTTCAAAATTATTTGTAAAAGTCGAAGATAACGAACGGCAATGTGACGTTGTGGTAAGAATGTCCTCTCCAGAGCCGCGGAATAAGAAGTTGGTCATTACGTCGCAGGTTAGAATCCCACTGTGGGACGTGGAGACCGGTCCCTTGGATGAGATTCTATAAATCAAGTTCCGGTGTCGCAGTAGGTGCTGGCACGAAAATGATCCCTCAGTGATCAGTGGCCCTTAGTGCCGCGTTTAGAACAAAATTGTTCGATCGACAGGGGAAGCTTACTCCTCTATGACATCGTACCCCATCTCTGATGTTTCAGGAGGTCTGTGTTTGCTCTGCTCCCGATTTGCTTTGTTTGAAAGAAGACTGGGTAATTCATTATAGTAACAATCACATTTTTCGGTGTACTAAAATTAATTCTATGTTTTCACAATTTATAAGGCTCCTAAAAGATTCATTTGCTAATAAGTAATATGTTTATTGTGATGAAATATTTGAATATACCTCATTCTATTCTTCTAATGTTTTACAAGTTGGTATTAATGCAAGGAAAATGTATTAAATGATTCAAAAGGATACATCACAGGGCGAATAGAGATGATTCAGAAACTTTTGGCAGCTGGTTCTGATGTGAATAAACGAGAATTGGAAGGCAACACAGGATTAATGTTTTGTTTGAAATCATCGTGCAAGCGAAGAAAAGGTATGGACAGAAAAGTAAATAGTTAACAGTAGTTGTAATAATATATTTGTTTGAAAATTACCCCCTCTTTTTATTGTATGCTTAAAGTGACATATTTTTATTTGTACAAGAACGTTTATAGATGGTGTTAAATGAATCATTCAGAAAGAAGAACAGGTTGTGTATCAGATTGATTAATTTGTTTGACGTGTATTTAGATTATTTTCTTCATCAAAATTAAAATTTCTTACGACCCACTTGCATTTCATTTGAAATACCGAAATTGATTCATTTGAAATAGATTAAAGAATGCATTTATGAATTATGTGATACTAGTATATCTGGGTAATTCAAAAATGAGTGTTTCGAGATTTATGTGCTTGGAATAGGATATGATACATGTATATACAAAAACACCTCAGAAAAGTCTTTAAAATATTTTTATCTAGATGAAGTACTGCCAGTAAATCGAATTCCTTTTGGAAGCTGGGGCAGATCCTAATATCAGTGATATCTCCGGCGGACGGCCACTGGAAATTATTATTAAATCATTATCGAAGAGCAGGAATGAAACGAAGATTCAAGAATTAGTCGAAATGATGTTTTTGTATGGGGCAAAATGCAACGAATATGAAAAAGGACAAGACTCTGTTTTACATATGGCTGTATCCAACGGACTTCAAGGCGTTGTTCAGATCTTGGTCAATAGAGGTGCAGATGTAAATCATAGGGGAAAGCATCAACAGATTCCACTTCATCGTTATTTCTCGTCAGGTATTTAAAACCGGTCTCGTAAAGACTAGTGGTGGGCATTCACTTAGTGAAAGAATTTCCGGGGTTTAATTCCCCTTTGCCGCACTGCATCCACCTTTAAATGTAAATATAGGTATTGGCTGTTCCTTCGCAGCCGTTCGGTCACTTTCTATTATAAAATTATAATATTGCATAGAAATGGTAGATTTTTCCTTCTTTAATATATCTGAAGTAATATAACTTCATTATACCTTATTATAGCCCCTGCTTTAAAAGTGGGAGGGTATACTGTAATCGTTATGTCCGTCCGTCTGTCTGTATGTCTGTCCGTTCGTTTGTCTGTTATGCTTTGGGGTACCCATCTCTTATCCGCAACTCCTCTTATGCCACTGAGTGAAATTGAATGAAACTTTTGCAGAATTTTTTTTACACATTGCCATTGTACACCTCCTATTTGTTACTTTTTGATCCGACACACCGACACGGGTTTCCCGGCCACAGCAAAACATGGACATATAACCATATAGGAGGCGGGGGGTATCATTTAGTGAGCTCATTGCTCACAGTACCTCTAGTTTTTTGTTGTTTTTTTTTTTGCTATCCGTTTTCGTCCGTCGTCGTGTGTCGTGCGTCGTGTGTTAACATTTGAACATTTTCAGCTTCTTCTCTGAAACCACTTAACCAATTTCAACCAAATTTGGTATACAGCATCTATGGGTGAAGGGGAACAAAAATTGTGAATTTTATGGTCCCCGCTCCCCCCCCCCCCCAGGGGCCTGAGGGGTGGGACCAAAACCACTAAAATTAGGGTCAGGGGTGCTAGGGCGGGGCTATTTATATTATATAGAGAAAATGTGCATGATTTCTTTGAAAATCTTCTCTGCTCCTGGGTAATAAATAAACTAACTAAGCAAATAGTTATGATGAGCAAGAGTGCCTCTTCCAAAATTGTGAATTTTATGGCCCCAGGGTCAGGGGTTTTGGTGTTAAGGCGGGGCTCTATTGGTTATATAGTGAAAATGCATTAATTTTTTGAAAATCTTCTTCTCTGCTTCTGGGTATTAGATAAACTATGTAAGTAAATAGTTATGTTGATCATCAAGAGTGCCTCATCCAAAATTTTGAATTTATGGCCCCAGGGTCAGGGGCTTTGGTGTTAGGGCAGGGCTCTATTGATCATATAGTGAAAATGCATTTATTCTTTTAAAATCTTCTTCTGTGCTCCTGAGTATTATAATAATAATAATAATAATAATAATAATAATAAATACTTTATTTAAAGAAGGTAACCTGGTTAGTGCATGCACTATTCTTCCCCAGGGCCTTCTAAGTATTAAATAAACTTAGTACATAGTTATGATAAGCAAGAATCCTTTTCTAAAATTATGAATTTTATGGCCCCCGGGTCATGGGTTCTGGTGTTAGGGCGGGACTCTATTGATTATATAGTGAAAATACATTAATTCTTTGAAAATCTTTCCTTTGCTCCTGGGTTTTATGCCAATGATCCAAATATATATATTCATGATGAAGAAAGGTGACCTAGCAAAATGGTTAATTTTATGCACCCCGCCCCTTCCCTGGGTCGGGGGTGAGGGGGTGCAAAGTCTGAAAATAAATTTAATGCTTTGAAATCTGCTCTTTGGTGTTAATCAACCATTTTATGATAAAATTTGCAAAATTTTGAAATATGTGGCCCCAGGATCAGTGGTTCCTTTGGGATGAGATGCACAACTGGTTATAAAGTGGAAGTGCATTTTCTCTTAATGTTACTCTGATCTACCTCTGGGTATTAATTAAATAGAGTAAGCATGCTAAGTCTATATATGTCGCGCACAGAATTGAGGCTGATTTTGTAACGTCAACATATACTTTGCTGACGTTATTGCATACGTCGTTTGAGCGTAAAAACGTAAAAAATTAAAGGCGTAACAAATTAGACTAGACATCCAATTTTTGCTACCGTTTTCTTAAAAATGTCTTATTATGTTCCCCAAACGAAGTTTGGGAACATATTGTTTTTACTTTTTCTGAATTTTTTCTTTGTTCTCCGGTACTTTTTTGTCCGCGAGTGTTCTCGTAAACTACTCATCCGATCTAGGTGAAACCTTTTTAGGGTCACTAGGTATGTTATGTAGATGTGCGGAACGAAGGTCATTTTGCGCGCACGTGCGTGCATGTGCGCGCACGTGTAACACGTGAAATGACCAATATAATAGATTTAGCCGTAACTTTTTAAATATTGGATGAAATGCTTTGAAACTCATAATATAAGGATATAATAGTAGTATAGACATGATGACATGGTCAAAATAGCAAGATCTCACGCGCATGCAGGTGCCCTTCGCTGCGATTGGCTGAAACTAAAAGTCTAAATATCTATTTTGTTTTCTGACAAAATCCTTTGAAATTTTGAACATAGTCTTACATTATGAAGATCTACAGCATGATATATAAGAATAATCATGAACGCACGCACATGCACGTGTGCTGCAATCTGATTGGCTAAAACTTCAAATGCCTACAACTTTCTTGGTTCTGAATAATACAGGGTGAAATTTCAAATATGAATAGATATAATGATTGCCTACATTATACTACTATCAAAAGTAAATGCATGGACGTGCATGCACGTGCGACCGCACACAATGTATTAAAAGACAGTATACTTGAGTGTTTGATGTTCATGCAGAATTAAGGACTTCTAAATGTCAAGACATGTAACATACTGAAGCATGCAGATCTTTTTACCCTTGACCTTGAAACTTAGGTCAAGGTCACTGGTAACCTGAATAAAATGTTGATATTAGCTATTTACCAAAATCACCTTGACCTATGAACTTGAAATCGACCTTAACCTTTGTCCTTGACCCAAGGGTAAAAAAAAACATGAAGTACATGTACATGTATCTAGAAACACCTTTCAGAGTTTCTTTCGGTTGACAGGTTAGAAGTTAAAGAGGTGGTGGTTTTTAATGACCTTGACCTTTCATCCAAATGTCACAATCAATCTTAAGTTCTTGGAATAAGATACAAGATTCAGCTCCAAAGTTAAATAGGTTAAGAATAAAAATACCCCCCCCCACACACACACACAAACAAATCAAATTAATGGCAACGTAGAGAATCACTGTTAAACTCAAATAACACCTCGGACCCACATAAAATTTCAGGAAAACTTCAGAAAAGAGCTCGAGGAAAGTGTATTAAAATATTTCATTTGAGTTTCCAAAGTATATAGAAATTATTAATTTATACAGAAAAAATTACAAATCCTGTCGTGTTTAAAATTAAAGTGCAGATGACCAAAGTTGGCATATAAGCCTTTTATAGCCTATTTATTCAGATGTCGTTAATAGCATTCAATTCTACTGATTTGAAATAATATTTTAATACCAAGCATCCTTTGTTTAATTTACCTTTGAAATTTATTTGAATTTTTTTAGAATTACGCAATCCCCAGAAATAGCGATTTTCGGTATATTAAAAATCAATATACATGTACGCTCCTTCGTAAAATAATCAGATATTTGCTTACATGAAAAAAAATATTAATAAGAAGGTGTTAAACAATATTGGTCACATTAGATGACACGAATGTCTTTTTAAACATCTCTTGTAAAACCCAGAGAGTAGCTCCCTATGCATTGGAAAAAATGAATAGTTCCGGTCAAAAAACCTTTATATATTTATTTACAAAGTATATAAAATTTACCAGGCACAGGTATCAGAATTGTCAAAATGGCCTGAGAGGAAATATTAAAAAAAATTCTGAACAGAAAGGAAAATCCCTTTTCCATGTATGGAACTACTATTGAATATAACCAACCCCGAGCCCGATCTTAAAAACACGGTAGTAGAAAATTAGAATTTTGCTGTTTTATTAATTTTTTTGCTTTTAACTTCTTTTCTTGAAGCCAAATGATATGAAAACACTCAAGAAGGTGAAAAGGCTTCATATTGTTATCTGAATTAAAATCAAAATTGTAATCTGAACAATTAGTCTCCTTATTATGTTCCCCAAACGAAGTTTGGGAACATATTGTTTTTACTTTTTCTGAATTTTTTCTTTGTTCTCCGGTACTTTTTTGTCCGCGAGTGTTCTCGTAAACTACTCATCCGATCTAGGTGAAACCTTTTTAGGGTCACTAGGTATGTTATGTAGATGTGCGGAACGAAGGTCATTTTGCGCGCACGTGCGTGCATGTGCGCGCACGTGTAACACGTGAAATGACCAATATAATAGATTTAGCCGTAACTTTTTAAATATTGGATGAAATGCTTTGAAACTCATAATATAAGGATATAATAGTAGTATAGACATGATGACATGGTCAAAATAGCAAGATCTCACGCGCATGCAGGTGCCCTTCGCTGCGATTGGCTGAAACTAAAAGTCTAAATATCTATTTTGTTTTCTGACAAAATCCTTTGAAATTTTGAACATAGTCTTACATTATGAAGATCTACAGCATGATATATAAGAATAATCATGAACGCACGCACATGCACGTGTGCTGCAATCTGATTGGCTAAAACTTCAAATGCCTACAACTTTCTTGGTTCTGAATAATACAGGGTGAAATTTCAAATATGAATAGATATAATGATTGCCTACATTATACTACTATCAAAAGTAAATGCATGGACGTGCATGCACGTGCGACCGCACACAATGTATTAAAAGACAGTATACTTGAGTGTTTGATGTTCATGCAGAATTAAGGACTTCTAAATGTCAAGACATGTAACATACTGAAGCATGCAGATCTTTTTACCCTTGACCTTGAAACTTAGGTCAAGGTCACTGGTAACCTGAATAAAATGTTGATATTAGCTATTTACCAAAATCACCTTGACCTATGAACTTGAAATCGACCTTAACCTTTGTCCTTGACCCAAGGGTAAAAGAGAAACATGAAGTACATGTACATGTATCTAGAAACACCTTTCAGAGTTTATTTCGGTTGACAGGTTAGAAGTTAAAGAGGTGGTGGTTTTTAATGACCTTGACCTTTCATCCAAATGTCACAATCAATCTTAAGATCTTGGAATAAGATACAAGATTCAACTCCAACGTTAAATAGGTTAAGAATAAAAATACCCCCCCACACACACACATATACAAACAAATCAAATTAATGGCAACGTAGAGAATCACTGTTAAACTCAAATAACACCTCGGACCCACATAAAATTTCAGGAAAACTTCAGAAAAGAGCTCGAGGAAAGTGTATTAAAATATTTCATTTGAGTTTCCAAAGTATATAGAAATTATTAATTTATACAGAAAAAATTACAAATCCTGTCGTGTTTAAAATTAAAGTGCAGATGACCAAAGTTGGCATATAAGCCTTTTATAGCCTATTTATTCAGATGTCGTTAATAGCATTCAATTCTACTGATTTGAAATAATATTTTAATACCAAGCATCCTTTGTTTAATTTACCTTTGAAATTTATTTGAATTTTTTTAGAATTACGCAATCCCCAGAAATAGCGATTTTCGGTATATTAAAAATCAATATACATGTACGCTCCCTCGTAAAATAATCAGATATTTGCTTACATGAAAAAAAATATTAATAAGAAGGTGTTAAACAATATTGGTCACATTAGATGACACGAATGTCTTTTTAAACATCTCTTGTAAAACCCAGAGAGTAGCTCCCTATGCATTGGAAAAAATGAATAGTTCCGGTCAAAAAACCTTTATATATTTATTTACAAAGTATATAAAATTTACCAGGCACAGGTATCAGAATTGTCAAAATGGCCTGAGAGGAAATATTTAAAAAATTCTGAACAGAAAGGAAAATCCCTTTTCCATGTATGGAACTACTATTGAATAAGTTCATTTTGATTGGTTAAGTATTGGCGTGATACCCTTAGTCGACTTTAACCCTGCCTTGTCGTCGGAATAAAACCAACTTTGAGCCCGAGGTTAAAATAAGTAGAGAAATAAAATGTGAATCGATATATTAAAAAAATGACATATGCTTGAAAAATGGTAAATTTATATATGTATTTTTTTCTTTGATTCGCGGGATAGAAAGATATATATGTTAATCGCTTAATCAACATGCCATAATCATCTTGCATATACATGTACATGTACGTGTGCGCGCATGCAAAACGTTAAACAATATATAGTTGATATCATTGTAACTTTTATATTCTTAAATGAAATCCTGGGATACTTAGCATATTTATAAAAGGTCTTAGAGGAATAAGGCACGATAAGGGACATGGGGAGCGTTTGGGGAACATCTGTAACGGTCCCCGTTACAATTAGCACTAGTTTTTATTGTTTCTTTAAATACAAAATTTTATTTATTTGCACATTATAAAAATAAGATTTTATTTGTTTCAAGCTTTCCCAGTAAATAGAAAATACAGCTAATATTGGTGCAATACGCCCGGTTAAATACTATCATACGCATATTTGTGTCGTAGTAACAAAGCAGACTAGACATCAAAATCGCTCTATTAATCTGTCCTGCTACTTGCTTAAAATTTTTAATGAAACATTTGACTACCTCTTGATGTGCACATTTCATTTATCAACTTAGTTTTACGAAAAGAACCAGGCCTGTTATATTAAAAAAATCTTTACCAAACATTCTATCTTTTCTTGTGACTTGACAAGATCATGGCATATTACAGAACCCTTTCAATTTTACTTACAGTCGAAATCGACCAGTGAATTGGGAAATTATGAATAAATGTACGACATCATCACCGGACATAAGAAAAGCAGTGTACATATTTGCAGAAAAATCTATGTAGCCAAACGATAAAATGACCAAAAATACTTAAGCCCGTCGTTTGCAGTGTTACAAGTTACGCAATTTCAAACCCCAATACTATGCGCGACGTCAAAATTATGATAAGCAATGGTACCTCTTTCAAAATTGTGAATTGCGAATTTCATGGCCTCTGGTTTAAAACACGAACCAAATTTAATTGTTTGAAAGTTGTTGCACAATACTCAGGTGACCTATAAGGCCCGTAGGCCTCTTGTTTATGTGTTCAAAACATAAAAGATGATTTTTTTGTTATTTTTGAAATTTCAAAACTTGTTGAAAAGTATATGTGGTAGAAAATAACGGCTTGCTATTTTAGTCTCGTATTGTTTCGGTATCCATGTATATTCAGTCATTGCATGTGTCGCTTCAAGATTTCTATTCCCTCAAGGGGGTAATATAGGAAACATGATTTTTAAAAGTCGAATAGATCTTCTCTCCTCTCAATATTTAATTAAATTTATTAAAGTTTAGAATCAAACTTTTATTTACATTTTAAATTAATCTCAATTATTTTTGAAGGGAGTGTCTCTTTTTCATTTTAGTATTGGTTTATCAAAGATTTTTTTAACCAAGCATTTGAATTTTATTTACCATTAAATAATATACATGTTTATTATGCAACCATGTTCATCCATTTTTACTTTTTTTTTTACAGAAAATAAAGACGAATTATACGATCCATGGTTACCTCAAGCATATGTAAAATCAAAATCCCAGAAGATATTGGATATTTTACTGCCTTTGACCAGGGATCCAAACATCGAGGATGAAAACGCTGATTCCCCACTGAATCTTGCTTGTGCCTGTTTAGCCTCGAAAAATAAAGATGACATCCGAAAGTTGCTGCAAGCAGGAGCAGATCCTCTTCACAAAGGACAGGGAAATGTTGATGCCTTCGAAAAATGTATTGCAACAGGTAAACATTTTAAAATTTGCAATTTGTTTAGTTCTGATTCAAGTTTTTGCAAATTTCATGCCACAATCAATAATGTTGAGGCAATAAAAGACACAAAAGTTATTGAATTGTTTAATTTCCCTTATTTTTTGTTTTGCAGAAAGTCTTAGAGCCTTGGAAATATTGCTCCTAGAAAAAGGTTCAAATCATATTACTGATTTGCATTTTACTGCATTTTTGAATGTATCCCAAATTCATGATGCTAAATTATATCAAAGAGTGGCATTATTGATGCTCAACACAAATAAACACATTAATGTAAACAGAAGAAACAGTAAAGGAGACACGCCATTTGATTACTTTTGTTATCAAAATGCAACTGATGTGATCAGAAAACTGATGGAAAGAGGTGCAGATGTTACAGCGACAGCAAGAAGGAACATTTTACACGTTCTCTGTGATTCTCCAGGTTCGACGATATTTTATTTAGCGCTTTGTAAGAACATGTGAATACCGGTATTCAAATTTTCGTTCTAGCTAATTTTTTTTTAGCTTAACTTTCTTTCGTAATTAACTAGTAAATAATTTCTCGAGCAAATGAGACCTATACTTCATATGCAAGATAAATTATAAAATCTTGACTTGTATTTTTATTATTTTCTGACAATTCATAATTGAAATATTATTTAGCGTATTAAAGATACTACTCTATAACTCCATTGCATTGAATTACAAATGCCATTTTTCCCATAATTCTAATATTAACTTAACTTTGATTACATATGAACGTATACAATTCTCTTTTTTAGATATTGCGTCAAAACTGGACACAATATCCTTGATAATAAAAAGTAACGCCGATCTGGATGTCCAAGATACATCAGGGAAAACTGTGCTTCAGAAGACAGTAGAAAAGTACCGAAAATTTTACCTCAGGGATGGGTATTCCACATACAAATGCATAGGCTCAATTATAGAACATTTACTGAACGCTGGAGCGAAATGTATAGAGACCGAATTAACTTCTCTGTTACAGCTGGCTTGTAAACATCAACATTTCGCATTGATGAAAGCCTTAGTAAGGAGAGGGGCGGACCTGTCTGTTAAAAAGTCAGAAAGGGGTATTTTACATGATTGTTGGCTACCTTTCGACTTTTATAAAAGTAAGTGTTACTAGCATTTTTACTTTTATTTATTTCCATTTCTTGTAGTTACGCACACAGTGCTCGTTGACAGGATTAACCCTGCCCCCCTCCTTCCCCCCACCCTTTTCAATATTAAATAAAAATCTGATTGTTTTCTTCTTTTCTAATCTCTGGCAATTTAATCTATATGTTTCTATTTGAAAATCACAGAAATATATCAATCATATGCAATTTCTATTCACAGGGTTGGGGGAAGGGGGGTAGGGATAATCCTGTTTACGAGCACCTGTGGTTACGCACAGAACTAGCTCGAAAATTCTGCTTATTTACTGATTGATTGTGGGATTACGCATGTTGAAAACGTTTTCTCTTTCTTTCTTTGACTCCTTTAAGAATTATTTTAGGCGCTGAACTATTTAAAAAACAAAGAAATTAATGGTTATAAGGATTCATGATTATTAAGTTTTTTACAGCGTAAATGACTTTGCATTTCCCATTTTCTTTTGGTAGTAGTTATTACACCAAGTTGGTTTTAAAAAATGCACCGAGTATTGCCATTTTCTTTTGGTAGTTGTTATTACACCAAATTTGTTAAAAGAATGCATCGAGTATATAGAGTTCCACAAGAAGGCTGGAGGAAGCCTGACTGAACTTTATAAAGGCTCTACACCTCTTGATTTGTACTTGAAGTCTGACATTTACAAAAAAATCGGAAAATTTTAAAAGTTTGCGGGATGAAATTGCTTCCCTACTTGCATGCAATGAAGAAGTTGTTTGTGAATCTGATAGAAGAATCTCGGAGGTGCACATCGCTGCCTCTACTGGAAATTTGTCCAAATTGAAAACTCTGGTTGAAATGGGGGCTAACTTGCATTTAAAAGACAAGGATGAAAACTCGTGTCTGCATCTTTGTTTGTCTTCAGGTAAGCAAAGTCACGGTTCACTTTGTCAGTCTGTGCTGCATATAATTTTCATTTCCTATTTAAAAAAATAATTCCTCGTTGAGTCCAGATATTGAAATACAGTTTTCGTGAAATTGTAATATTTCTTGCAGAATAAAAGGTGTTAATTTAGTATCTAAGGGGTCACTAAGTGTCCAAATAAGTGCATTGTCGTCAGAACTTTTACAAGTATGATTTTCAAGACATTCAGTGAGCAACAAAAGACATAAGTAAACTTTCCTTTCATAAAAGCGGTTTTGCTCAAGTGAGCTTTTCTGATCGAAATTTGTCCGTTGTCCTTCGTCGTTGGCGTCTTCTTCTCAAGAACTACATAGCCATGCCACAAAGTATTCTTGGGTAAAGGAGATTCAAGTTTGTTCAAATAAAAGGGCACGCCTTCTTTCAAGAGCAGTTTATCGTGAATTTGTGAAACATTGAACCTTTTAAAAATCTTATTCTCAAGAACCACTGTGCCAGAAATTATGAAACTTATGTGGAAGCATCCTCAGGTAGTGTAGATTCAAGTTTGTTCAAATCATGTCCCCATGGTTGGGTGGGGAAATAAAAATTTTACATAGTAATGCATAGGAGATATCTTTGAAAATCTTCTCAAAAACAGCAAAGCCATAATTGGACATATTTATATAGAAGATGCCCAGATAGTGAAGATTACAGTATTTTTCAAATAATTATCCCCAGGAGTAGGATAGGGTCACAATAGAAGTTCAAACTTGTAGGGAAAAAAGTCACAGTAAAAAAGGTAAGTATTCTTAATTAGTGTATATTCAATTTTGTTCAAGTCATACCAACTCTTTGTAGGGGTAGGTTGGGACCAATACAGCATTAAAGCTTTTCAATACTATAATGTTCTTAGTTTTTTCCTTGTTACAGTGTTCAAGTGAGCCATATGGTCAATTATGGGCCTTTTCTTTAAGTTATGGGGTTGTTTTAAAAATTTCTATATAATATTGGAAAAGATGAAAAAAAAATTTTGCTCATGGGAATACAGGAAATAATGTTTCAGATATATTTCAAGAACAGCAGGTCCATAAGAGGATCAGAATTTAAAATTTGGTTAAATATTTGTCCAAGGTTGTTACCTTTGGACACAGAAGAGAAATAAAATGCATAATTTAATGTGAATATGACTCGTATATATATAAAGTTTATAAAGCACTTTTTTAACAGCGCAATATAATAAAATGTTCATTAAATATATATATATATATATATATATATATATATATAATTAAGTGTACTGTTTGTATTGATAACATTAAAATTATAACAACGTGTGAGGAATTATTTTTCAGGTATCGGCAGCGTTGTAGAAATGGTCAGCTACCTGCTAGAGCAGGGTCTTTCTCCAAACGACACGAATTCAGACTACGAGACTCCTTTATATTTAATCCTAAAAAACGCAAAATATCACACTGAAGATGAAGTATCGTCCATCGTTAAACTTTTGATAAAATTCGGCGGAAATCCAAACCAAGAAAAACTTGAGAAAAATCCTTTAATTCAAGCAATAGAAACATTTAATGCTAAATGTGTTCATATTTTACTGAAGAATGGAGCGAGGGTGAACGATCTGCCGAGTAAATTAAATGCACTGCATGTGATGTACGATTCCATTCTATCTGTTCTGGTAAAAGATCAGAGAGGTAATGTTTTAAAATTGTTTTTAAAAAAAAGGGGGGGGGGGTCTATCAACAAAAGCTTAACAGTCAGTAAGGTCATGCTTAGTTTTTACTGGATGGCAAAAATTCAAAATTCACAAAGAAGAAATTGTAATTTTGTCACTTTTTTATGCATGGTACCTGGTAGATGATTAGTGCAGATTTAAATACATACTCCTCACATACTACTGAGTGAAATTTAATGAAACTTTCACAGAATCTTTATTACATATTGCCATTGTGCACCTCCTATTTTACTTTTTTATTCGACGCGTATTTTAGGTTTCCCATAGCAAAACATGTCATTATATGTTTACCTATGACGTCACATATAGAAGCTTCTGGATAACATTTGATGGGACGAGTTATTCCTCTTTACACATTATCGTACAACAATATATAGCAACACATAAGACTAGTCTCGTTTTCCCCCGACTCTCGCTCTCGAAACTTTGCCCTAGCGAGAGTCTGGTCTGATTCCTATTCTATTTTTGTAATTTTAAGTCGAGGCTTACCGAGAAATCGGTTTGGATTTTCATTGGCTGATACATTCTCTTCGATGCTAAGATCTGTATTCTTTAAAAAGTGAGAGGCTGCGCCTTTACTTTTATCTGGTTTTATAATAGAATACCTCTGTCTGCTTTACAAGGAACAAAAAACGCACATATCTTTTTTTAAAAAGTAAATTCTCTCATGGGAGCCGCCATCTTGTTGGCTGGTTTAGCGACCTCTACTGGTTACAAAAATAGAATAGGAATCAGACCAGACTCTCATCCGGGCAAAGTCTCGAGAGCAAGAGTCTGGGGAAAACAAGACTACACATAGACATTATGGGAGGCGGGGGGTATCATTTAGTGAGCTCATTGCGCACAGTACCTCTAGTTTGGGTATAATGTTTGCGTTCCATCATAAAAAAAAAGTAGATTACCGACTGCGGCGTTGCAACTGTTATACCTAACCCACATATCTTTGTTTAAAAAGTAAATTCTCTCATGGGAGTCGCCATCTTGTTAGCCGGTGTAACGTTGAATATTGACCCGAGTTGAAAATTGACCCGGGGGTCATTTTTCAACGTTGAATATTGAACCGGGGTCATTTTTCAACGTTGAATATTGAGACTAAAAGTCGTTGAATTTATACCCGGGGTCATTTTTCAACAGCTTGATAATTTTTTTTCTTACACCTGATGACGTCAACAAGTTGAAAATTGACCCTGTTGAATATTGACCCCACCTCAAAGTTTGAACATTTTTTTTTAGCTGGGAAGTTGTTTAACGGGATTTATTAGTATCACTTTATTAATATTTCGTTTTCAATTTTTTCCCTTTTCAAGAATAATAGAAATAAACATACAGTATCACCCCGTGTATATATGTACATTTAGATCAGTGTACGGTTTCAGTTATCTTTGCAGGGGCGTAGCAACATTACCTTTACTATGGCAATTAAATGTTAACTGTAAACCTGGTTGGACCCCCAGTTCAAGTGATGTGTCGATAATGAAGTATTAGAATTGATACTGAAAGTTGTTGACACTGAAAAAAAGTTAGCCTCTACCCCCAACCCCACCCACCCACCCACCCCCTTCACCCACAAAATATAGGATTTTCGACTTTGGGCAACTTTCAACTCCAAACCCCCTTTTTTTGCTTGTCAACTTTTCAGGTAAGTATAAAAAAGTTTTCTCCGGCTGCCCCCCCCCACTTTCAAAAATGATGCTACGCCACTGCTTCAAGCATGACATCTTTATTTTTGAAAATACTTTCCAAAATCCATGGCATCTATAAGAAAACTACAAGAAAACTACAAAACAACGGATAGGCTGAGTACCATTTTAACAATGTAGAATTTTTTTAAAATCGTTTGAACGATTTAAGAAAACGTTTGTGCAATTAAATAAATCGTTTGTACAATTTGTTTGTTAAATCATACGATTTATCAAAATAGTTTGTACGTTTTTTTATAAATCGTTTGAACAATTTAAAAAAAACCTTTTTACGATTTAAGAAAACGTTTGTACGATTTATCAAAATAGTTTTTACGATTAAACAAATTGTACAAACTATTTAATAAATTGTACAAACGATTTATTAAATCATACAAATGACTTATAAAATTGTACAAACAATTTATTAAATTGTACAAACGATTTATTAAATCATACAAATGACTTATAAAATTTTACACACAATTTATTAAATTGTATAAACGATTTATTAAATTGTACAAACAATTTGTTAAATCGTACAAACCTTTTTTAAAATCGTTCAAACGATTTTTTGTAAATCTACATTGTTAAAATGGCACGAATACGCCGTCGTTCGTGCCTATTCGATGTCATTAATATTTAAAACAATCGGTTGCTAGTCGCTACTTTTGTCATTCCTATTCGATAATTTTTAGCTTTTTTAATCGATGATTGTTTGGTTTATATGCAATAAAGTTGTTGTTCGAAAACATACTACCATCATTTCTATTCGAAAAAAAAAATACAATTCGTTAAACTTCTCACCTTATAACATAATTTTATCTCTATGATCTCCTGTGCAATGTTTTTTAATTCTTTTTCAATAATTGCCATGATTGCATTCTGGGAAATATGACAAATTAAACTAGAATTAGTTGTAAACTCAATTAATTAGGAATGTAAAGTTTAATATCATTATCGAATAAAAATCATTTTATCACATAGATTGACAAAACAAAATTTAAAAATATTGGAAATAAGGCAGAAGTTTTCTATCTTCAAGACTTAGAGACTAGAGATCAGCATAAATTAAGCTGTTGCTATTTAATATTAAATAAATGTGTTTCGTTTTATACATTGATGGAGTAAATATAGAGGATTTAGTTATTCAGAATACAAATTTATTTAATTGAACATGTCTTGTATCAACTTTTGACAAAGATATACAATATATATATTTTAATAAAAAGTACATGTTGATCCTAATTCAAGACGTAAAGTCATTGATACATCTCACCAATTACGGAACATAAAAAGATATTAATACAAAATTTAGTAATTTTTTTTCAGAAATCAAGTCATTCTCTGTATTATCTTAATCATGTGATCAAGTTTGAGCCAATCAGAGAGCTTAGAATTAAAGGTGATATCACCTTTCCGTGCTAAATAGATGCTATCACCTATTTGAATAAGTGGTATCACCTATTCGAAAAGGTGATATTACCTATTTGAGTTTCTTACAACGTTAACAGTCATTAATGAATGCTCCCTATAATATATATTATACTACACTGGAACCAAGAAAATTCGGACTACCCAGTTTTCATACTATTTCTACGATTTTTTGTTGTATACATGATATATAAGTGAAATAAATCAATTTGTAAGCAAAAAAAAAAAAAACAAACTACAGCTGTTCGACGGGAAAAGGTGATATCACCCAATTGAATAAGTCATATCACCTTTTCGAATTGGTGATATTACAAATTTAAATCAAATAAGTCATATCATCTATTGGAACAGGTGATATCACTAATTCAAATAGGGGATACTACTTTTTGCAGTAAATACCAAAACGGGGCCTCATACCTATGAATTAAATCACAGTAGTGAAAACCCAATCATAAATATGTGTTTTTATGCTGTTGAATTTTGAACCGGTTTCATGTTCAAAATTCAACGACCCGGCTCAGTTTTCAACTGATTAGGGTCTAAATTCAACACCTTCGGTCTCAATATTCAACGTTGAAAAATGACCCCCGGGTCAATTTTCAACCCGGGTCAAAATTCAACGTTACACCGGTGACCGACCTCTTTTTAAATCGAAGCATGGTTCTGACGAATAAATTTCATACAACAATATCAGTTATCTTGTTTAAAATCACTATTTTGAAAATTCCAAAATCAATATATTTTCTTTGTGTTTTTTTTTTTTACCTTCGAGAATTGTTCATTCATTTTGAAAAGCTACCATTTATACTGATTACAAATGGACATGCACTTTGCAGTTTGGCTTTTGGGCAGTAAGGGATCTTTCTACTGCCGGCATCTACTTAGACACAAAACATCGGTTTTATTCTTTTTTTATCCGAAGTGCCGTTCTTAACGTCCTGCAGTGGTATTGAAACTCGCACATGAGGTTCAACTCTTTACTCGTCGCCCGCGTGGCGCAGTGGTTAGAGCGTCTGTTCTAGAGTCGTGAAGTAAAGAGTCAATCCTTACGTCGCGGGTTCGAATCCCACTGCGGGACGTGGAGGCCGGATGAGACCGTATAAACCGAGGCCCCGTGTCGCAATAGGTGCTGGCACGAAAAAGATCCCTCCCTGCTCAATGGTCCTGAGTGCAGAGTAGAGGACAAAAGAACTTTATTCGGTAATAACCAATATTTGCCCCCCAAATCAAACTTTGATGGAGATATATCTAATTAAGTTCTTAAACAGGGGAGTATATGCTGACTTCAAAGCACTGAATATTTTCATAAGTAATGACGCCATATGTACGTAATGACGTCACAAACATGACGTAAACTTCAGCTTTTTTATGAATTTTACAGAAAAATGTACGTATTTCGTCGATATTTTGGGTAAAAATCACCGAGCGCATGTGTGTTCAGGATCAATATGTTGATATAATGTGTAGAATGATAATATCAATGAAATACGAGGGTTGTTCGAAAATTATTGAGACATTGTGTATATTTTGCTTTCTAATGAACGTCTTTCGGTGAAAATATGCATATACGTTTAACATACACTAAGAATCAATAAAAGCAAGATATATTTTACAAATGTTAAATATTTTCTCTGAAATGATATATAAATGCGTCAATAGTAGGGGTACCTGGAGCAGTCATGAAATCAGATTTTGAAAATATGTAACACCACCGTTCTAGCTTGTCGTGGACCAATAATAAGAGCGGAAATAATTCAGTTTATGTGTATAATTTTTCAGCTTTATTTCAAATTCATCTTGTGCATCTTTTATAGAATTTTGATCAGAAATACGGAGATCATAAAAAAATTAAGCGCGGTAGAAAAATCTGCTAACAACGACAAAATGGAATTTGACGTCAAGGGCGGAGCAGCCAGCATACCTAAAATTTTGTGTAGCGCAATGTAGAACTCTTTCTTCCAGACTTAACGACCTTCTAAAACAATAAAAGTGAGAAAAAAATTATGTGCTTGGATAGTTATTTCATTGGTATAAATTTCTTTTTTTACAACTAATTCAACCAGAGTAAATGTAAAATGTAAAAGCTCTGGACAACCATAAGTTATTACTCACGACATTAATATCGTTACGGCATTTTAAAATATCGTTTACCTGCGTTGCATAAATCGACAGTGCATGATTCTAAGTCATCCTTTCCTCCAATGAAAATTTTACACTGGGGTAGAAACAGCATACATTTTCAAATGATACTTTAAGAAAAGAGACTGTCTGATTTTTTTTTTAATGTTATAGGTAATAACAAAAAAGGAAGAGTATTTAACGCTTCCCGATCGTTTCACATGCAAATCAATCTCCGACTGACGTGACGTTAATTGACGTAGCGATGCTGCTCCGGGTCAATAGACATATGCAAGTTTATTATTTCACCAAAATTTATCTAATTATCCCAGGTTTTAGAAATTTTGCGTGAGAGTTTTATTCGTTCTTTATAAAATGTTGATGAATTTTCATGAAATTATCTCCGTCCTTTATGGAGTAAATGTAATTGTCTCAATAATTTTCGAACAGCCCTCGTATGTCAATATTGTTCCTGAACAAACTTGCGCTCTATAAATTTTAAAGCTAAAATTGTTGAAATTTTGACCATTTTGTCCTCTTTCTGAAAAAGGATATAAAATCGGACTAGTTTGTGACGTCATGAAAACAAAAATTGTGAATACACTGCTTTGACACTATAATATTTTCTGTTAATTTATATTTTTCATAGAATTTATTGAATTTAGCACATTTCAGGAAGTTTTCAAAATTTGACTTTTGTGGGGGCAAATATATGCAATATACCGCATATAGTTCTTTGCAGCTCTCCACCGGCAAATGGTGGCGTCTCCATATGAGTGAAAAATTCTCGAGAGGGACGTTAAACAATATACAATCAATCAATCAACTCTTTACTCTGCGAAACTAGAACAAATGCCGTAAGCTTTGCAACATGCAGGCAACTTATAGTTGACAATGACCTTGTTTGCAAATTCTGTGTATCGTTTAGCATCAATTAGATATGAATTTAAAAAAAATTGGATAAAATTTATTTTCAGAGGACATTCGCTTTCTGCAACATTTGCTAGTTACGAACCAGGTTAATTTAAATGCGAAAAACACCTGCGGAGATAGTGTTCTTCATTTAGCTGTCAAAGTTTTGTGTAATACGAAGATATCTGTTGGAGCTACACAACTTATTCAAGAACTTGTTGAACATGGCTCGGATGTGAATGCAACCGATTGTAATGGACAAACGGCTCTGAGTCTTTGTTGTGAATTTGGTTGCGGTGAGTTTATTCAACTTGACTGAAAGTAAAACGTACATGGGGATTTATAAATCTCATTTAAAAATTAGCAAGATACTTGCCTTCTATAAATTTGTATGTAAAATTATTGAATACATTAAAACGCAATTGGAACTGAAAGCGGACAGTGAATACAGGGTTATTTTCATCTCATTTTATTTTCGCAATTCGAAATAATACCGATATTTTTTCTCCGTTTTAAATTCGCCCAGAAACATTTCTTTTGAAGACATGATACTTTTCTCTTTGAATTTACTTGTGTCTAGGGTCAAAGAAGCAAACATAAAACGGAGACGAAAATTTCCCTGTATACATTTTTAGATCACCTGAGCTAAAGGCTCAAGTGAGCTTTTTTGATCACAATTTGTCCGTTGTCTGTCGTCGTCGTTGTCGTAAACTTTTCACATTTTCGACTTCTTCTCAAGAACCACTAGGCCAAATTCAACCAAACTTGCCACAAAGCATCCTTGGGTAAAGGGGATTCAAGTTTGTTCAAATGAAGGGCCACGCCCTTATTCAAGGGGAGATAATTGGGAATTAATGGAAATTTGGTGGTATCTTTTAAAAATCTTCTTCTCAAGAACCACTGGCCAGGAAAGATGAAACTTATGGGGAAACATCTTCAGGTAGTGTAGATTCAAATTTGTTCAAATCATGACCCCCGGGGGTAGGGCGGGGCCAAAATGGCCGACCAAATTTTTACATAGAAATATATAAGAAAATTCTTTAAAAATCTTCTTTTCAAGAATAACAAAGCCTTAATTGATCATATTTATTTGGAAGCATCCCCATTTAGTGTAGATTCAAGTTTGTTCAAATCATGACCCCCGGGGGTAGGGCGGGGCCAAAATGGCCGACCAAAGTTTTACATAGAAATATATAGGAAAATTCTTTAAAAATCTTCTTCTTAAGAATAACAAAGTCATGATTGATCATATTTATATTGAAGCATCCTCAGGTAGTGTAGATTCAAGTTTGTTCAAATCATGACCCCCGGGGGTAGGGCGAGGCTACAATGGCCAATCAAAGTTTTACATAGAAATATATAAGAAATTTTTTTGTAAATCTTCTAATCAAGAATAACAAAGCCATGATTGGTCAAGGGACTATTTTGGATATAAACTATTCAATAATAAACCAATTTCTACTTTTTCCCAGCCACAGTGCTCAGGTGAGCGATGTGGCCCATGGGCCTCTTGTTATTAGCTTTACTGGTTAGAGACCAGAAGAGCTTATGCGATAGTGATGCGTCCGTTCGTCTGTCTGTCTGTAAACAATTTTTCAAAATGCGACTCTTCCTATAATTTTGGTCTGATTTCAATATAAATTGGCACACAAATAGACTATTCTGTGCATCGGATTTTGATTTCGTTGAACGGTGTTGCCGTGGTTACTAAAAATAGAAATTTCTGTAAAATTCTTCCAAAACCTTCTCCTCCTACAGTTTTTGTCCGATTTCAATATAACTTGACAACACCGTTCAATCGAATTCACAAACCGATGCATAGACTTATGTATCTTAGTGTAGTCTACTTGTGTGTGCCGTGGTTACTTAAAATAGAAATTTCAGTGAAATTCTTTCAAAATGCTACTTCTCCTACAGTTTTGGTCCGATTACAATATAACGACACACAATATAACGACACACTAAGATACATTATTCTATGCATCGGTTTTTGATTTCGATGAAAGCTGTTGCCATGGTTACTAAAAATAGAAATTTCTGTGAAATGCTTGCAAAATGCTACTCCTCCTACAGTTTTTGTCCGATTTCAATATAAATTGGCACACAAGTAGACTACACTAAGATACATAATTCTGTGCATCAGTTTTTGATTTCAATTAACGGTGTTGCCGTGGTTTCTAAAAATAGAAATTTCTGTGAAATGCTTTCAAAATGCTACTCCTCCTACAGTTTTGGTCCGATTTCAATATAACTCGGCACACAAGTAGACTATACTAAGATACATAATTCTATATATCGGTTTTTATTTTGAAGAGCGGCAAGGATCATTTGTTCTATTTAATGCTCTTTTAAAGTTTCAAGTCCCAACTGCTACTTTTCTCTTCCTTTGTTTTAAGTATAAACCAGTATAGCTACAGTCTCGACAGAGACTTCTGGTTATCATTTCTAGATATAAATATAGAAAATTCAAAATAAATAAATATTAGGAATGTGTCCCAACATCAAATACTTCATTTAGATATTGAATGCATTGCTGTTAGCAAATACTTACTGGAAAACGGAGCGGATCCCAATATAGGATGTGCCTTGAATCGTGCATTTATGCACGTAAAATGTGGAATAAAAGATGAGACGAAGGAGTTAATTTTTCAACTCCTATCACATGGAGCAAATCCCAGTGCTGAAACAGACTGTAGTGATACACCAAATCTCATAGTAGCAATCAACATGGGGGATACTGACTTGGTGAATGCGTTGTTGAAAAGTGGTGCTCACCCAAATATCTGGGATGATTCTGAAACCAGTCTTTTATATGCATGCAATTTAGGTAAAATATATCTTAAATTGAATTTACATTAGAATATCTGCGTGAAGTTAAAATTCTTATTTGCCAGGCAATAAATTGATTTTTTTAGGTCACCTGAGTAACTCAGGTGACCTATTGCTATCCGTTTTCGTCCGTCGTCGTGTGTTAACATTTGAGCATTTTCAGCTTTCTCTGAAACAACTGAACCAATTTCAACCAAATTTGGTATACATCATCTATGGGTGAAGGGGAACAAAAATTGTGAATTTCATGGTCCACGCTCCCCTGGGGCCTGAGGGGTGGGGACAAAACCACTAAAATTATTGCAATCTTTAAAAATCTTCTTCTTTACTCCTGGACATCAAGCAGGCAAACTGTTAGCATGAATGGAATGAGCATTGAGTCCTCTACCAAAATTGTGAAATTCATGGCCCCAGGGTTAGGGGTTCTAGTGCTAGGGCGGGGCTATATAGATTATATAGTGAAAATGCATTATTTCTTTGAAAATCTTCTTCTCTGCTCCTGGGTATTTAAAAATAAACTAACTAAGTACATAGTTATGATGAGCAAGAGTGCCTCTTCAAGATTTGTGAATTTTATGGCCCCAGGGTCAGGGGTTCTTGTGTTAGGGCGGGGCTCTATAGACTATATGGTGAAAATGCATTTATTCTATGAAAATCTTCTCTGCTTCTGAGTATTAAACACAAAGTTATGATAAGCAAAAGTGCCTTTACCAAAATTATGAATTTTATGGCCCCAGAGTCAGGGGTTCTTGTGTAAGGGCGGGGCTCTATTGATCATATAGTGAAAATGCATTTATTCTTTGAAAATCTTCTTCTCTGCTTCTGAGTATCAAATAAACTAACTAAGCACATAGTTATGATGAGCAAGAGTGCCTTTTCCAAATTTTTGAATTTTATGGCCCCAGGGTCAGGGGTTCTGGTGTTAGGGCGGGGCTCTTTTGATTATATAGTGAAAATGCATTTATTCTTTGAAAATCTTCTTCTCTGCTTCTGAGTATTAAATAAACTAACTAAACACATAGTTATGATAAGCAAGAGTGCCTTTTCCAAAATTGTGAAAATTATGGCCCCAGGGTCAGGGATTCTTTTGTTCGGGCGGGAGTATATTGATTATGTAGTGAAAATGCATTTATTCTTTGAAAATCTTCTTCTCTGCTCCTGAGTATTAAATAACTAACTAAGCACATAGTTATGATAAGCAAGAGTGCCTTTTCCAAAATTGCGAATTTTATGCCAATGATCCAAGTATATATATTTATGATGAAGAAAGGTACATCTAGCAAAATGGTTATTTTTATGCCCCCTGGGTCAGGGGAGGGGGGGTACATTTAATGCTTTGAAATCTGCTCTTTGATATTAATCAACCATTTTATGACAAAATTTGCATAATTTTGAAATATGTGGCCCAAGGGTCATTGGTTCTTTTGGGGTGAGGTGCACAAAGTGAAAAACATTTTCTCTTTGTAACTCTGATCTACCTCTGGGTATTGAGTAGGTAGAGTAAGCATGCAGTTTTTTTTATTTATGATAAGCAATGGTGCCTCTTTCAAAATTGTGAATTTCATGGCTTCTGGTTTAAAACACAAACGAAATTTAATTGTTTGAAAGTTGTTACACAATACTCAGGTGACCTATAAGGCCCGTGGGCCTCTTGTTTAAATTATTTTTAGCTCACCTGAGCCGAAGGCTCATGTGAGCTTTTCTGATCACATTTTGTCCGTCTGTAAACTTTTCACATTTTCGACTTCTTCTCAAGAACCAATGGGCCAATTCTAACCAAACTTGGTACAAAGAATCCTTGGGTAAAGGGGAGTTTAAATTATTAAAATAAAGGGCCAAGTCTCCTTACAAGGGGAGATAATCAACAAAAGACAAAATAGGGCGAGTTCATGAAAAAATCTTCGTAAGAACCATTGGGCCAGGAAAGCTGAAATTTATGTGGAAGTATGCTTGGCTAGTGTAGATATTAAATTGTAAAATCATGACCCCCGTGGGTAGGGCGAGACCACAATAGGAAATTCCAAGTTTTACATAGAAATGTATAGAACAAATCTTTAAAAATTTTCTTCTCAAGAACCACTGGGCCAGGAAAGCTGACATGTGGAAGCATCCTTGGGTAGTGTATATATTTTAAATTGTTAAAATCATGAACCCGGGGTTAGGGCGGGGCCACAATAGGGAATCCAAGTTTTACATAGAAATGGATAGAACAAATCTTTAAAAATCCTCTTCTCAAGAACCATTGGGCCAGGAAAGCTGACACTTATGTGGAAGCATCCTTGGGTAGTGTAGATATTAAATTGTTAAAATCATGACCCCCGGAATGTCTACAACTTTTATTACGTAATACTTGTATATTTATCCTATTATCCATACACACAATCAACATAATATAATCTGATAAATATGGAGTTAAAATCAATCTGCATGAGGTTTACTCTCAGAGATGTGTTCTACCATCAATATAATGCATATAACTGATGTAAGCTCATATAGCGGGAAATACATTTTTCAAAACACAGACTCGGAGTAATAATGTTTGAATCAATAGAATAATATGTCAACATTAAAAAAATCCGAGCACAAAATCATAGTTCTTTCAAGCTAACATATTTTTTTGTTCCCACAAGTTATTTATGATTCTACCCTTCCATTTTCAAAAAGCTCGTGTGACCTTATTTGTAATTGGAAAGTGATGAAAGAATGATTGCACTTAGTGTATAAAACGTGGCCCCGGTAAATTGCGCAAAAATAAGATACAGAAAGTATCCTAATGAAATTAATAAAACAATTCTTCAAGGTCTAGATCGCAACTTTGCAAAATTACAGAAATTAAAAGTAAGTAATATAAAAGAACGAGACTGTGTTTTGTAAGAGGGGTCAATGCAAATCACTAATCTCCATTGTTATTCAAAGTTATTCCGATTTTTAGAGCTGAAATACATAGTGAGCGCATGCTTGCCCAAATTTCTCAAAAGGACAGAAGGTGTAGAACTGTCGGAAATTCAACATATTTAAGGGAGAATTTTGGGCAAGCCTGCGCTCGGGGTAAACTTTTTGAAAAAAGGTACGAAACGCCGACAGTTTTCTTCACTGTTTACGGGTATTTACATGTCATTGACCTCATTGTGACCTGTTTAATATTCCAATTTTCCACGTGGTTTGTAGACTCAGGTAACTTTGTGAATACAAAAAAAATCAATAAACCACGTGGTTGTAGATCCGTAAACATTCCGTCGAAAGGCGTCCAACTTAGAACATTACATGTACATATGTACATTTTTAATCAATCAACATAGAACTATTTCTTTTTTGTCAAGTGTTTTAATAAGGTGATGGAATATTAAATTGGAAAAAAATGTAACGATATTTTATTTTTAGTCCTTGGATTTACGGGGCACGTTTGGAGGCTCAACGAGTTTCAAAGATTTAGCTCCCATCTTCAAAGAAACATCATTCCTCAAAGTGTTTTTGACTGCAAAAATATAAGGACACGGGGTAGAATAATTATGTAGATTGTTTAACACTGGCATGGAATTCTTAAAATTACTGGTACCCCCCCTCCCCAAACAAACAATTTAAACAAAACAAAAAAACAATCGCACATACAATTAATAAAATTGTTTTGGTAATAAAATATCACCACATGCAGCATCACAAAAAATATTTCGTACACCATTATTTGTAAGAAGTGCGGAATATTTACTGTACTTTAAAAAGTACGAATAGAGAGACAGAGAGAGAGATGTTTAAAATTTCAATAGGCACTGCTCTTCTAAAAAATATAGAACTTTTTCTTAAATATGATTTTCCCCGTTTTCATATACAAGTAGGCTCAGTTTAATTAATAAAGTGTTAAATTTCCACCGAGAAACGACCACAAGATGGGGGATCTGGATTTATAGGGATCGTACATCTCAAAGATCCTCCCCCAGTACAATCTTTCGTAAAAAAAAAAAAAAAAAATGGCGTAATCCTTGAGAAATTCTCCGTGTTTATTTTTTTGTATACAGTTTGTCTTTGTATTAAATTCCAAAAGCCATTATAACTGGCTAAATATGACATGTTTTCAACAGGTCGAGGAAATACCTTATATGGATATTGTTGCGATTGCGCACAGAGGTGCTCACAGCAAACAATTGTCCAATCCAGTGAATGAGCCGAAAAGCATGATGGTCTACTACATGTTTATTTTTACTACGAACACGTGGCTCAGGGAATTTTAGGACGCGATTTCAAACGACTGCAGGAAAGTCAGCTAACAATGTTTTTGAAATTTGTCATTAAAAAATACGAAGATTGGGTACTTATTAAGATTCCCCTTGCTCACATTAACAAACAAAGTAAGTTTTCCTTGTTAAATAGTACTTTGAAATACCGCAAAGTCTTCACTAGTAAATAAGACTCAAGTTTTTTAACTCGATATTCGTTAATTTGCCATGTTACTGGTTAAATTTATGTAGTTGTTGCTCAGTTATTTGTTACCAGAAATTAAAACTTGCACTTTATAAACAAAAAGAAAGGTTCTTAAGTTGCATTTTTTTAATTATTTATAACTGTTATATAAACCCTCATGCACATTGATCATAGAACATGAGAAGCATATATTTTGAAGTTGTGTACGTTATAAACATTGACAATACGTGAGCACACCTCAAAGTTGATTGTTTTTGGACTAAGGAATACTGAGTAGTCACGTGAAATTGACTTTTCACTGACAGTACCGCTATACAGCACGGGGAAAGCTGTCAACAAACATGACAAACGGACTTGTACAATGGAGTGGAGAAAGCCCTTATTTTTATCATTGTAAATCAATTGTATATAAATGTGAGCATGGAATCAGTAGATAATGATGTTCATATTGTATTAAGTGTGTAAAATGCTTGGAAAAATGCATCACTTTTTTCCGAGAGTGATTTAAAAAAAATTGGCCTTTTAGAAACACACGTGTAGTATTTTTGTAGTAGACCATAATGCAACTCATTGAGCTGATTGGTCGATTTGTAAGTCACGTTGGTTCCTCACTTAACATGTAAATTTATTCCGACGTCACAGAAAATAGTTTCCTCGACCTGTTCAATCGATCGATGAAATGCCCCGCTTACTCTGAATATTAATGTGACACAATTAAAACCCAACTCGGACAAGCGCAACATTCCGGAATTAACACGAAGCATATGGCTTTTTAAATTACCATTTATGAAACTAAGACTCCGTTTTCAGTGTGAATTTTTGCAAGCAATATACCACAAAGATAACAAAGTATGAGTTAGGTGTAAAATAATTAACATTTGAGTTAATAAGATAAAGTTAGAGAGGTCCGAAAAAGGGGCCACGGCACTATTCTTAAGTGGAAACATTCTTTTCCAATATTGTTGCATTATGACTCTATATTATAATTGTACCCATTGTTTGCTTTCATCATATCATGCTAAAATTTTAGAAAGGAAGTTGTCATGTTGTAAATTTTGTATTTACAGCCACCCGGTAAATTCAAAATTTACAACATGACAGAACTATATGATCAACCCTCGAATTTTCGTTTTCTTTAGGTTTTGATCAGGCTACAGAGATTGTACCACTCCTTCTTCGGTACGGTTGTAGCATCAACCTAGGTCAACATGGTAAACCGTATATATATTACAGACAACATCCACTCTTCAGAATTGTCGAAAAGATTATAAAAAATGCGGAATGTGTAGAATTTACAGAGGAAAAATACGTAGAAAAGGTTGACTTGAGATTTTTCAATCTTCTACTTTGTGGGGGATGTGATTTATCTGTTCTTTTGCGTCCTGG